GTTTTTTTTTTAGAACGATGGAATTGGAATCTGTTCAAAGTTACGTCATATGCAACAGTTAAAAGCAAAAGCATATATCGGATATTTCTATATGTTATTATTTGGTGTATTTTGCATATTTGCATATTTTTATACGCATATTGCATATGCATGTTGATTTTATACGCATGTTAAATAATTTATACACACTTCAATATATCATCTGTGGAGAAATTTTTTTTTGTTTTTATAATAACGACTTATTTTTACTAAGAAAGTAAAAAAGTTGTACCCTAATTAATACCACTAACTCAGGACAAAATATCTCTATGGAAAAACAATACTGTTTCTCCAACACCAATAATTAAAAAAAAAATTCATATATTGGTCACACATGTACCACACTTCCTCGTGGGTTGACTTGTTACCTGTCAAAACTTGCAATTTTTTCATATATCGATCATCACCAAGTAAAATACAACTATTAACATACGACACATTTTGGTAGAGAGTATTAAAATATAATACAGGGATCACTGCATAGCAAGACTCAAAATTTTAGAAGTCAGTATTCGATATATACTTTTTGTTTAACTGTTGCATATGACGTCACACTGTTCCCAATCTCAGCGCTCTAGAATCTAAAATAAATAAAAATAACAGAAACACAATGTTGTAGTAAAGATAATCTGGTCTAGCTTTACTAACAACACTGAGTTTTTAGTAAAGACTAAAACGGTTAAAAGTACTTGATCAAAATATGAAATGTACGTAGACCTTGTTCATGAAATATAGATTTGTTGATGTATATTGTTGGGGCATTTTTAGGGCCAGAAATAAAGACACAAGAGAGGAACTGAGTTAAACAAATATATTAACAGAAACAGTAATACAAAACACATACAAACGAGAGTGTTACAGCAGGAATGTTCAGTCTGACTGTCAGAGCTGACTGCTGGAAACTTCTCTCTAAAAGGCAGTACCTGCTCCTATTTATATCTGGGAGAGTCCATGCATGGGTAACTTACCATAACACACACACACACACACACACACACACACACACACACACACACACACATATATATATATATATATATATATATATATATATATATATATGTGTGTGTGTGTGTGTGTTATAATAAGTATATATATATAAACACATCTATCTATCTATCTATCTATCTATCTATCTATCTATCTATCTATCTATGTGTGTGTGTATGTGTATGTATGTGTGTCTGTGTGACTAGCTGTTAATAAATTCAAAAGATTTATTTCAAGTTATTCGTTTCTGTGAGATTCTCAGTTAATATTTTTCTGTTTATCAGAATATATAACGATATATAATTTTGTATAATTTTTTGTATCAACAAACAATATTTAAAAAAAATATGACAAACTGGAAAGGTCACAAAACCTTTCCAATTTGTTATATATATATATATATATATATATATATATATATATATATGTGTGTGTGTGTGTGTGTGTGTGTGTGTGTGTGTGTGTGTGTGTGTGTGTTTTATTTAGAAAAAAAAAATATATATATATCACAATTTTCAGAGCCATTCTGAGACTTCCAATACTATTTTTTAACAGCCATTTCCTTGCATCAATTTTAAATTATTTGCCATTATGGATTCTCTAGGATATCTGAAAATAAAAAAAAAATGAAATTTAAATAATTGAGATATCGATATATATATATATCAAGAACAGAATTGGAGAAATTTAATGACAATGTGGAAAAAGTTTATATGCGAAACATTTCATCCTACAAGATTTCATCGCGACGCGACGCAAGTAAACTTTTTTCACCTATACATATATATATATGATATGCATTGATTTCTAGAATCAAACTGGTCATGTCGACAGACATACTTTCCTTTATAATGTGCCCTCATCGGACAAAAATATATGAAATTTGAAAGGATTTAAGTAAATTAATATATATATACACATACATATATATTTTTTCCAGACATTTTTCTGCTTTCTCTTTCTTTCTGTATTACATTTTTTTTTAAATTCTATCACTGAAACTTTAAATGCGAAAATCTTCCTTGGGCAATTACGGATATAAACAACTGGTATAAAACGTTTCTGGTGTTATCTCATTTCTATACAGCTTACGATGTTTTGTACATGCATACATGCATATATATATATATACCCAAGTATAGGATTGGTGTATGCGGAATAAATTCCAATAACCAACAATTACTATTCTTAAAAGAGTGCTCAATACAAAGTAGGGCAAATATAATTATTTATTTAAAAATTATAACATAAATATGTTATAAAATCACTACAAAAATAGCCATTTTGTTTAAACACCTCTGCTATTTTTTGTAGTGATTTTATAACATATTTATGTTATAATTAAATAAATAATTATACATATATATATATATATATATATATATATATATATATATATATATATATATATATAGGTGTCCCAAAATAATGTATACACTCTTTGAATATTAATAGTTAATACTAGATTTGTTTATATGGATGAAAATAGCAAAACAGATGGATTGGAAGAAAAGAAGTTGAATACCCACCAAGATCACCAGATTTGACACCCTTGGATTTCTTTTTGTGGGGGTTTCTAAAAGACAAAGTTTACAGCAGGAAACCTGAAACAGTTGTTGAAATGAGAGTAGCAATTGAAGAAGAATGCACTCAAATACCAGAGGAAATGATACTGGACGTGTGTAGGTCTATTTCTTCAAGATATGAAAAGTGTATTGAACAGAATGGAAACCAGTTTCAGCACTTGATGTGAATTCATCATTATATGAACATTCGGCCATTTCCCCAAGTAGCAAATTTTCTATATTTTTTGTATATTTAATTCTCAAAGGTTTTAAATGTGTATTCTTATTTTTATTCTTGTATGAATCTTATTTACAAGTCAAAACTCATAAATTGAATAAGTTATAACGGTTCAAAGAGTGTATACATTATTTTGGGACA